AATGATTGATTTGTGATTATGTTTATTACATAATGTTATCAAGAATGTAGCAAAAAGAAAGAAGTGGAATGGAGTATTTTGGCATATTAATTAGGTCACATGGTAAATATTGTTGGCATATTAATTAGGTCACATCGCGATTTGTCATTATCTTTTTTTTGGAGAGAATTTAATGTTCGATTTTTTAGGAGATGTCACGCCAAGAGTGTGGTAGAGGCCATTGGGGTGATAAAGGTTGCCTCATGTCTAGTAGGGGCAGCAGCTCTGCTCGCGGGGCGTGGCTACACATCCCAATGACATGGAGGATTTCACTAAGGAACCACCCCGATGATCGGCCTCGAGGATATCTATGAGCAGGAAATAGAAGCCCACCTACGTCGGGTTCGAGGTCGAGGAGAGGCACCAACCTTTAGATGCCGATACACAATCATCCGAGCTTGCGACTATGTCTTTGTTTGTTAAGCAATGCATAATTAGATATGGTATAAGGCTTTGCACGCATTACATAATAAAATGATATGAATATCTTTTGTGTTGTATATTTTTTTAATTGTGTAGGTTTAAAGATGCTCACGTTATCCGAGAGATGACGAATATATTTAGTTCTTGCTTTGGTGGTCTATGACCTCCCTGGAAGGAGGCCCCTCCGGAAGTCCACAACTTGATGTTCCAGCATTTTCAGCTCAGTGTACCTTTTCAATGTAAGTATACATATCAAAATATTGTTTTTACCTTGATTAAAATCTTGTGTATGTAGGGTAAGTTCCACTGGGAACCAGATTAGGATGACAAGGTTTGTGATTTATGGACCAAAGCAATGCAAAATAGGTACAAAGATTGGATGAGGGTTGCACGTGACTGGGCCGGGACACAGGCTTATCCCGCTACTAAATGGGAAGGTAAGGACTTCTCACAGGCTAGATTTCACGACCCTATATGGATCCCAGAGAGGTTTTGGATTCAGATGATTGACCAGATATTTATCTTTATTGTGAGATTCATGTATTGCCATGTCTTCTCTACCGACTTATGTGTTATGTTCTTAAGAAGTCTGGGATAACGAGTCTTGGAAAAAGAAATCTAGTACCAATAAAGCCAATCGGAACACCAAGTTTGAGGGGGGTGTCGTCCAAGCGCACTAGGGGATCGATCAGTACTATACAACATCGACACTAGGTCGCGACTCGACTACTATTAAGGTGTTTGAGCATACCCACTGCACGAACCAAAAGTTTGTTGCAGGTTCATCCCCCCTGCCTACTGACCCTCCTCGTTCCAGATACCCCAAAGCGGCTAGGTTTCATGTAAGTTTCCTAAAACCCTTAATTTGTTATATACATATGTTTGGTAGGTTTGAAGTAATATATTTTAATAAACGTAGTGATGCTATTAGTTTGGGCTTCCATTGTTGGGTAGACATTAGGCTAAGTAGATAGGTTGGTTGGGAATGTTACTACCATTGGTAATGAGAATGCTTTAATTGTTAAAAACAAGCATTGGATATGTTTGATTATAGCTGTTATGCTGCTGAAATGGCTACATATATAAGCTCACCCATGTTTATTTTGGTAAACCATAGAAGAAATTTCAATCATTAAAGAGTCATAGTCTACTGCAGACCCTGACACCCCTTCTCTTTATGACACATCTGTTTAGGAGCAGAGTGTCGTAGGACAAAAGTAGGGTCGTATTTTTAGTTTTGGGACCTTCCAGGATCCCTATTATGCTATGAATGGTCGTTGTAGCAGTGGCAACGAGAGATGTATGTTGGTTATATTATTATGTACTTTGTCATTACTTTTCATTCTGAACAAATTACTGATTTTTGTCAAATATTTAATATTTGCATGTGTTGGATTTGAGAGCAAAGATGGCTGAAATGGAGGAACGCCATCAGACCGAGCAGGAGGCCGAACAAAAGAGAGTGGAGACCGAGATGGAGGCCGAACGGAAGAGGAGGGAAAATATAGAGGTCCAACAAGCCAAAATATGCTACCCAGTTAGACGAGCAGATCCCTTTATCGCAACATTTTGCTGCATTTATGAGGCAGTCAAGATACATTTTCTCCACTTGCCCACCTCCTGACCCTCCCAGTATTTAGATTGTTATTTAATTAACTTTCAAACAATAGATTGTTTAAATATAGTATTTTAAATTGTATGAATTGGTTATTTAAATTTGTTGGAGAGTTTTGGTTTGTTATTTTATGGGCAGGCTTTGTACAAAAAATACAGGCAATCTGTAATTTTAGTTTATCTTTTTTAAATTATTAAAAATCAATGACGGATTAGCGACGGAAAAACCGTAGCTAAAACTTGTTAATTCGTCGCTAATCCACCGCTAAAGGTCCCGTCGTTAATCCGTTGCTGAAATTTATGTCGCCAATCCGTCGCTGATAAACATCCGTCACTAATCCATTGCTGATTCATTTCTAATAATAGCATTACCCACCAGCTTTTTGCCCACGGACAATCAACGACGGATTAGTGACAGATTTTTCCATCACTGATAGTCCTCAGTTTTGTAGTGTAACTAATATCAAAGAATTCATTACAACTTAGGTGTCTCTAATCTTGAAGACATCTCTAAAAAGCCTTGTTTGATGAATATTATAATCCTCTCACTAGCTTACAAATACATGAAATGATGTGGTTATGAACTATTTTACATACTTTATGTAATCTCATCTAATTTGATCTCTACTTGGCTGTAAACCACTCTTGATGCAGACTTTCACTCTTGTAGAAGGTGGATGCAAATGGTAAAATCCCTTGTGTTTTCAATGCTTTACAAATTGTTGAAATGAAATTAGAATTACTGGAAAGATACAAGAATCACTTTGAATATAAGAAGAACAAGTCCTCAATCAAATTCTAGGATATACTAAAGAAGATTTATGTCCACATTGTCATGAAGTACCAACTCATTTGTTGCAGTCAACCAAATGACCATTCGATTTGTGTAGTACATAAAGTTTTGCTTCTATACCATAATCATAATTCATTCACATCTATAGACAATGTTATACCCTATCCGCAAGTAGAATAACCATATATTAGAGTGATCAGTGACTCACTACACTTTAAACACATCCATGGGTAGAAAAGTGAAACTACAATATTATATTTTTTTAGCTTCTCAATGAAAAGCGTACTTTAAAATGACACTACTCAATTGATAACAACCTTTAGGTTCAATTCACTTCATGCTAGTATTATTGTACAGTTGAGGATAATCAATCTACCTATTCCTTCCATTTCTCCAAGCAAAACTCCTCATAATGTAGTGTCTCTTGCATATGCTTTACCTTTGATGTTGTTTCAAGTTGATTCTAGTTCAACATTAAAAAAAAAAACATTGATATTTTCTCAATGATACGAATGGAACTTAAATCCTTTAAGTCACATTGGACATAGGATTCTACATGATGGTAGATCTTTTTAAGAAGTATGAAGCATTTAACACCTATAACACAAGTACTACAAAGTCCATTCATTTGTCTAAAAACCGTATTCCATATGAATATTGCATAAATTTGAACTTTTCCATTCAATTAGAATAACAATATGGATTTATCATCACATATGCTCCAACCGAAAAAAAATTGAAAATTAATATGATCCTCTTCAAAACAAAAAAAAAAAAAATTGATGACATTAAACATAACACCCTATGAGTTTTTAACATGTAAAATGTATGTTTTATAACCAAAATACCCACCACCCCAACCCCCAAAAAGAAGTTTGACTTGCTGGTGTTGGTTGTCAACAAATTTTTAGGTTTTTGTAAGAGGATCTTTTCTTGGCTTCTCTGCTTTTTATATATATATATATATATATACAGGTGGAGGTTCAAACGAGAACCCCTGTGATTTACGAGAA